GGGTTACAGAAGATTTAGAGCAAAATCAGATAGGAGTGATAGAGGAAAGGATGAGAGAGAAAGATAGTGGATAGATCAAGGCAACTGGAAATGTCGATTAACATTACATTTGAATAGTTGGAGATTATAGCTCTCAGGGAAACTGGAATAGGGAAGGGAGTTCCACAGGCGAGAGGTGCGAGATATGAAGCCATTGGAGTTAGAAGTTTCGACAGTCAAAGGGTGAGCGCGGGATGCCAGCCTTGTAGGGCGCTTGAACTCATGAAGTCTGGGAACCAGCGAATGCAGCTCCTCGGAGCAATTACCATGAAAGTATTTGTAGAACAGACAGAGAGAGGCGACGGCACGTCTGTGAGAAAGTGACTGTAGACGAGATGCCAGAGCAGGGCCAATTATATCTGGAGCCTATCAAGAACCCCGAGGCAAACAGAAGGGGCACTAGACCATATATGGTAGCATTACTCTATGCAAGGGCGAATTGTTGATTTGTAGATCTGGAGGATCGATTCAGGGGAGAAAAATTTCCTGGCGCGGCACAGGGAGCCAACTTTCCTTGCGGTGGACGAAGCAATTGACTCAATGTATTTGTTCCATCTCAGGTCAGCAGTCAACGTGAGACCGAGCAGCCGCAAAGAGTTGCTCTCGAAAAGTTGAGCGTCAGACATTCTAATGGAGGGCAGGGAAGGATCTCTGTGGTGATTAATTAATGGGAAATAAATAAATAAATAAAATAAAATAAATAAATAAAAGAAAGAAAGAAAGAATGTGAGTGGGTATATGGGAAATAGATAAAAGAAAGAAAGAAAGAAATCAGGTATTGAACTCACACTCTTTGGGTCTTGTCACTGAAGACATTAGGTTTATAATACCCAGAAATTCATAAAAAGATGTCTTCAAGGACACATGGCATAGTGGATAAAGACGTTGGTTAGATCCAGTGACAGGACCCAAAGAGTGTGAGTTTATATACCCGGTTAAGGAGATAACTGACATCCATTAACGTGAAACTAAAACAGTCTACCTCAGTGAGCAAAATTATTCAGGTACGGCCTAAACGTTGTGATAAATATGGCGACAAAAATGAGGAGAATAGTCCGAATAATGTAAATAGTAACAGCTCAGTATTTTTTTCTTTGGTTACCAAAGATATTCTCCTGCCTGACAATATTCTGTCCAGCTTTTGGAATGCGTCTTTGGCCATTCCAATACGTCTACGGATCTTAGTGTCGCACTTACCGTCCTCTGCCTTTATAAACATAAAAGGACTTATTACAATTAATACAGGGTTTCCATAAAGTTTGTGTGCATTTTAAAAAAATTATAACTTTATTTGTATTTGCCATAGAAATAATCTGTAAAAAATGTTATAAAGTTTAATGTACGTAGTTTTAAGTATAGCTAAAATAACTAATGTGATTTCAGGCATTACTGTAAATCAGTTGGCAAATGTTTCCGTGAACTGCAAAATCGTATTACCCTTTGTATTGCTAATGATGGAGGACATGTGGAAACTTAAATAAAATTTCAATAAAACCTTAAAAAATATAGATTTACTTCTTTCTAATCCTTTTTACAAATTATTTCTATCGCAAATACAAATAAAGTTATAAATTTTTTAAAGTGCACACGAACTTTATGGACACGCTGTATTTCATTTGGCAAAGCTTCAGATCCATCATTTCCTACCCTTTTGTCACTGAAGACATTAGGTTTTTGTGCACCCTTCTTGGGTGCACAAAATGTTATATGCATTTTAATCACATTTCGGGCTCTTCCTCTTACTGATAACCATGCATTCTATTTTCTTCTAGTTTATGCTTAGTCCGTTCTTCTCCCTCTCCGTCGTCTCGAGTCTCTTCTTCATCTTTGAGGAAATCGTCCATCATTCGCTGCCGTAAAGAAGGACAGATGTCGCGTAACAGTTCAGTATTCTTTTCTTTCTTACCAAAGATATCCTCCTGTCTCGCAATACTCTGCCCAGCTTTTGGAATATGTGCTTGACAAAACCTTAGCCAATCAATATTCGAATGGCTAAAGGATTGTCTTAATAGTTCGACATTGGTACATGTGACAAATAAACTTAATTCTAACGTTTTTCGCTGTTAACAAAATCAAGTGTAATTCCTCAGTCATTAATCGATTATTAAGAATCCTGTTTTCGGAGAAAGTTGAATTATTTATTCAGATATATTCACTTACGAACGGTGTAATAATGGATAGCGGCTCGGATTGAGGAATCGGAGAGCCGAGTTCGAATTCCAGTCGGATCTATTACATTCACTTACGTGTTAATACTCTTGGGAAAGGTATGAATCCTCTTCTTCTGCCCCCAGCTATGGATAAATAGTAGGACAGACTAGGTTCTATAACTTTGGGTGGCAACCAATCTAGGAGAAAGAAAAATTCTGAATTCTAAAACCGGCCTGGAGAGGGTTGGTCTCTGTCAGGCTATTTTGCCCAAGAAACACCACTTCTGCACATGGTGCTCCTATGGGTCACGAGATAAAAAGATGCACAAAGGAGTAATGGATTTCTTATCGATTAATACGACATATTTTGATCACTTTAAACGATATTTTTAGTGGATGCCCCTATTTGAATAGACGCTCCGTTTATTTTTTAAACAATGTATTTATTTTCGTCTACCGATTTGAATACTCGAAAAATCTTATTGAAGAAAAAATACGCCTTCCGGCAACATTCGAACACGCATCCCTCTTTGAAGGAGAAACCGTCGTTAGATCCGACGTGCTTTTAACCGATTTGGTCACGAAGGACGTCGACGATTGACCGAGGTTCTATATTGATTTTTATAACATATCCCTATCGTTTACATTCCCAAAAGTTCATAACTGCTCAATATCATATCCGAAACGTAAACAAGGCAATTTCGAAAGAACTAATGGATTTTTTTTTTCTTTATTCATCCGACACATTTTTATCACGTTAAACGTTATTTTTTGTAGATACCCATATTTGAATAGACGTTTTATTTCTTAAACAGAATATTTATTTTCGTCTACTGGTTTGAATATTCGAGAAATCATATTGAAAAAAAATACGCCCCTAGCAGGATTCGAACCTGCGTCCTTCTTTGCAGGTGAAACCGTCATTTGATCTAACGTAAACAATGGTGCTCCCACATCGTTATATTGTTCTAATGATAACAGTCAGAAAAATTCAAAAATTAATAAAATTTAAACTCTATTTATTAACAAAACATTGATTATTTGCAAACAGTTCTTTGCTAAATTTGCTTTTATCTTGAAGGTTTTAGAAACCCGTTATATTTTTAAAATATATTTTAAATTTACTTTAAATATATTTTAGTAGTTTTAACGAATAAGTATTAATTATTAAAAAGAATAAAAACGTGTATTTCCGACGAATAATTTATTGTTAAAAACAGATATATTTCGGAAAGCTTTTGCAATCCTTGATCTCTTTTGAGAAATAAATGAAACATTGTATATACTATAAATTCAAATTAACAAGTTTTTAAAGAAATTCTCACGAATATAGTAAATGCATAAGTGTAAAAAGGCTTGATTCAATTGATGAAGTTGAATTAAAACGAATAAAAACTTGTGATTTGAACGGATAATTTATTGTTAAAATAGATATATTTCGGAAAGCTTTTGCAATCTTTGATCTCTCTTGAGAAATAAATGAAACACTAATTTAGGATGCTTGTCTCTTTTGGCAGTTGCATAATTAAAAGAAAAGAACTTGTAGTTCCAACGAATTTCTTCGAAATATTTCGACTAGCAGTTGCTAGTCTTATTCACTCCTTTAATTTGAGTAAAACAATGAAAAAAAGCTCGAAACGCTATTACGTTTTAAACTTCATCAACTCGTTTTGTTTTCCTTGAATTAAATTCTTAAGCGTTTCTAGTTTCTTTGCACTGTTTTTACTCAAATTAAAGGATTGACCAAAACTGGCAACTGCTAGTCAAAATATTTCCATAAAAATAAATCATTCGTTGGAACTACAAGTTTTTTTTTTCTTTTTAATTAAAGAAACACTAATCTATATTGTATACGTTATAAATTCAAATTAAAAAAAAAACAATTCTATCGAATTGAGTTCGCGTGACATACGTAAACTGAATGCGTGAGAATTGCTTAAAGAAAGAAATGTCATTTCCAAACCAGAGTAGAAAAAAAAATTACTACTAGTTTTTTCGTATTTTCCGTTGAATTACGAAAGTCCATGTTGGGTGAAACTGTGCTGTACCAATTCTATTACAGACATTTTCGGTACTTGCTATTATCATTTGTTCAGTAAACCGTCTTTGAATTTCTATTGTTTGGTCAATTTTATTTCAGGTTGGTCGAAGTCTATTTCGTGATCTTTGATGGCGTCAAGTTCAATTACTGATGATTCCTCTACGTTTTACCGGACGGATTCATTTCTTATTAACTTAGTACAAACCATTAATTATAATTTTTATTAACTTAGATGAAGTATTATTTGTAATTTTTTATTACGTTAGTACAATGTATTAATTAAAATTTTTTATTACGTTAGTATAAAGTATTAATTATAATTTTTTATTAGCTTAGTATAAAGTATTAATTATAATTTTTTATTAACTTAGTACACTGTATTAATTATAATTTTTATTACCTTAGTATAAAGTATTAATTATATTTTTATAACTTAGTACACTGTATTAATTATAATTTATTATTACCTTAGTATAAAGTATAAATTATAATTTTTTTATTACGTTAGTATAAAGTATAAATTATAATTTTTTATTACCTTAGTATAAAGTATTAGTTATAATATTTTATTACCTTAATACAAAGTATTAATTATAATTTTTTTATTAACTTAGTACAAAGCATTAATTATAATCTTTATTACCTTAGTATAAAGTATTAATTATAATCTTTATTACCTTAATAAAAAGTATTAATTATAATTTTTATTAGCTTAGTATAAAGTATTAATTATAATTTTTATTACCTTAATAAAAAGTATTAATTATAATTTTTATTACCTTAGTACAAAATATTAATTATAATTTTTATTACCTTAATTATAATTTATATAAAGTTATTTCTCATATAATTCCAAACGTCAAAACGTTACTTAATCTTTACTTTAGTAAAATTCAAAATGCAGACATTTACGTCCGGTTCACACTTCTCCCCGGTCTTTCAAACAGGAGTAAAAGTTTATAAATAGTTTCCTGTTTAGGATTGGGTTTCCGGTTCTTTCTAAAGTTTATTTCAACTCCATACTTCTAATGTATCTTTCCAAACTCTGAAAATATATTTATTATTTATTTGTTATTTATTTATTTATTCTTTCTCTCATTAGTAGATAGGTTCATCTATCGTCCGGTTCGCACTCCTCCCCTATCTTTTAAACAGGGAGTGGAGGTTTATCTCTTGTTTCCTGTTTAGGATTGAAATCCTTCTAAAGTCTTTTCCTTTCATTTCAAGTAGCCTTCTTGCGTCTTAATGGCATTATCGCTTTCCTTGGTGTGAAATGATTAAAATACTACTACTACTACTACTAATAATAATAATACTAATAATAATAATAAATCAAAGCTAACCGCCCAGACATTGTTATTAGAGATCGCACACACAAAAAGGTGCCTCCTTATTTATATGGCAGTCCTGTAGACTGCAATGTATCTTCGAAGATCTTCAAAAAGCTATCAAAATACAAGGACCTTGAAATCGAAATCTCAAAAATGTGGCACATAAGAACATCAACAATCCCTGTCGTAGTTGGAGCCCTTGGATTGGTTGGAAAAGATTCCAGTAGACTAATTGAAGGGATTCCTGGAAGTCTATGCCTTAAAGAAATACAAAAAATTGTTCTTATGAGTACAGCCCACACCTTACGAAGGGCTTTGTCTATGTAATTTTTTTTCCAGCGGAAAATGTCATGATGCCATTTTTAACCTTAGTTCCCTGGGCGGGACCCGGAAAGGAATGAGTACACATCAGAAATCAAAGGAAATAATAATAATAATAATAATAATAATAATAATAATAATAGACAAAAAGTACTGACGCGGGTTCGATATAAATAAAAGGAGGAGCCAAAAAGCTGTCTTCTGTGTGTAGTCTGAAGAAGTTGAAAAGTGTTTCGTCTTGCCCAGTGGTGACCAGGAAAGTAAGGATATTCAATTTCTTTTAATTGAACCTTTGTTAAAAAAAAAAAAAAAAAAAAAGAAAGAAAAAGAAAGAAAAAGAGAAGTAAAGAATAAAGAAAAAAAGAAGAGGAAAGATTGGTGACAGTTGCCGCTAGGGTTTTTATACTTTCTGATTAAACACATCGACCCTTCCATCGCATTTCAAACGGCATATCTCAAAGGCCATCTGCTCAGCTGTCTGTCTTTCATGGCGGTGTGTTTTGTGGTTTCTTATGTTAAAGCTTCGGGCTCAATGGAAGAGGCATGGACATTTTTCCTTTGACCTGTTATTATAATGATGATGATCATGAGCATGATCATCATCGTAATCATCAAGTAACGACAAAATTAGGATATTTTTAATTTATTTTCTAACATCTATTCCTTTTTTTTTTTACATTTTTCTTATATTCTCTTCTTTTTTTCTTCTTTTTCATTTAAGGTTTTTCTTTTTTTTTTCGTTCATTTCTTTTTATTTATTATTTCATTCTTTCTTTATAGACATGAATAACTTTCGTTTATTCATTCTTTTATCTGTTTTTTTTTTAACATTTCTTATTCTTTCATTCTTTTTTTTATTTTGGTTTTTCTCATTCTTTTCCTTTGGTTACTTTTTTTTTACGATTTTCTTTTCTAGATTTTCCTTTTCGTTCTTGTTCATTTTCTTCATCATATTTCTTTCTTTCTTTCTTTCTTTCTTTCTTTCTTTCTTTCTTTCTTTCTGTTCAATTATTCTTTTTCCTCTATCTATCTATCTATCTATCTATATATATATATATATATATATATATATATATATATATATAAATTTATATATATATATATATACATATATATGTATATATCATGGTTTATTTATTATCTATCTGTATTCATTATCTATCTATCTATCTATCTATCTATCTATTTAGTTTATTCGTTATCGATCTATCTATCTATCAATCTATATATCTATCTTAGTTTATTCATTATCTATCTATCTATCTATCTATCTATCTCTCTTATTTTTTTCATTATCTATCTCTGTTCATATCTATCTATCTATCTATCTTAGTTTATTCATTATCTATCTATCAATCTTAGTTTATTCATTATCTATCTTAGTTTACTCATTATCTATCTATCTTTACCTATTTATCTCTCTCTCTCTCTCTCTCTATATATATATATATATATATATATATATATATATATATATATTATATATCATAGTTTATTTATTATCTATCTATATTCATTATCTTAGTTTATTCGTTATCTATCTATCTATCTATCTATCTATCTATCTATCTATCTATCTATCTATCTATCTTAGTTTATTCATTATCTATCTATCTGTCTATGTTTTCTCTTTTTTTATTTTTCTTCTTTTTTCTTTCAAGTTCTCATTCTTAATTTATTTTTCATCTTTTTATTCTTTTTCATTCGAAATCATTCTCTTTATTTCTCTCTGTGAATTCTTCTTTTACTGCAGAAATTTTATTTCTTCTTTTTTTAATTAAAATAAAATCCTTTCTATTTCCATTTCTTCTTCTCTCACCTTGTCTTTATGTCTCCATTCACTTTCCCTCTTTTTTCTCTCTCTTTATTCTTTTCTCTAGCGATCGTTCAATCTTTCTTTCTTTCTTTCTTTCTTTCTTTCGGCAACTCTTTTTACCTCACCGGCCAGACAAGTTGTCAACTTCCGTTACTTGATGTGGTCAGGTGTCATTGTCTTTTCTGTCCTGTCCAATTTCGTCCCTTTTGTCCACATTAAGCACTCTTCCTACGGCATTTCCCTAGTGACGCCATCTTCCCAGAGGGCTGTGCGCAGCAATCATCGAATGGTCCCCAGGTTGAGAAGGCAAGATTAGTTAACTTAACACCTCTAATTTGGAGGCTCACAAACAAGAGACGGCAGGGTGAAGAAGAAGAAGAAGAAGAAGAAGAAGAAGAAGAAGAAGAAGAAGAAGAAGAAGAAGAAGAAAGAGGAGGAGGAGGAGGAGAGGAGGAGAAGAAGAAGGAGGAGGAGAAGAAGAAGGAGGAAGAAGAGAAGAAGAAGGAGGAGGAGGAGGAGGAGGAGGAAAGAGAGAAGAAAGAAGAAAAGAAAAAGAAGACAATGAACTAGGAGAAAAAGGGTAAGCAGACGTTATTAGAGAAAATGCTTAGAAATGGAACAAAAGGCAGAGAAAGAGACGAGGGAAAAGAGAGGAGGTTAGAAAGAGAAAAGAGAATAAAGATGCGGGTATTCCAAAGAAGTAAGAAAGATTAGATTAGACATATCCCATTCTGTTCACATCTATCTATCTAGTTGGCTGTCTGTCTGTTCATATCTATCTATCTATCTATCTATCTCAATCTGTTTATATCTATCTCAGTCTGTTCATATCTATCTCAGTCTGTTCATATCTATCTATCTATCTATCTATCTATCTATCTATCTATCTATCTATCTATCTATCTCAATCTGTTCATATCTATCTCTGTTCATACCTATCTATGTATCTCAGTCTGTTCATATCCATTTATCTATCTAGCTATCTCATTTTGTTCATATCTATCTATGTATCTTATTTTGTTCATATCTATCTATCCATATATCTATATTATTTTGTTCATAACTATCTATCTATCTATCTATCTCATTTTGTTCATATCTATCTTATTTTGTTCATATCTATCTATCTTATTTTGTTCATATCTATCTCATTTTGTTCATATCTATCTATCTATCTATCTATCTATCTATCTATCTATCTATCTATCTCATTTTGTTCATATCTATCTATATACCTATCTTATTTTGTTAATATCTATCTTATTTTGTTCATATCTATCTATCTCATTTTGTTTATATCTATCTATCTATCTATCTATCTATCTATCTATCTATCTATCTATCTATCTATCTATCTATCTATCTCAGTCTGTTCATATCTATCCCTATCTGTTAATATCTGTCACTAAATACCAATCTGCTCATATCTATCTATCTATCTATCTATCTATCTATCTATCTATCTATCTATCTATCTATCTATCTACATCCGGGTCAAACAATCGTAGCCGTGTATTTACCACTGTTACTTCAATCCAAATAGTTTATTCCCTCAGTTACCATTTCAAAATTTCCATATTATCCCACGCGGTCAAGAGAGAATAGTTACCATCACCAAACGCATGCAACTAAACTGGTCGATCTCCAAGCATCTATCAGCCACCGATCTCCCGATGTAAATATATCATGCAGTCAGAACTAGTTTTAAAAACCACTGTACAGTTACCATTATGGTTGTTGGTTACGAAGTCTTATTGGATAAAATTTCCTAGCATCAAATAAGCTGAGAGTGAGAAGTTAAATTCCTGCAGCAATTTATTTTGAACTTCGAGCGATGACGTCATCGCCTTATATTGCAAACTGTTTGCCCTCGCGGGAGAGAAAAGCGTAAAAGGTTTCATGGCGGGGGAGACAAGGGAAAAGAAGCGGAAATGATAGAGCAGAAGGTGTTGAAACACTCCTCAAGTCAAATCGAAACTTTAGAATAGATGGTTACACGCACATGCATATATATATATATATATATATATATATATATATATATATATATATATATATATATACACATACATATAAATATATATATATAGTGTGTGTGTGTCAATGCGTGTGTATGTGAGTGTGTGTGCGTGTGTGCGTGTGTGCGTGCAAGCCAATTTTAGCATTTCATCAAATTCTGATACAACTTTATTCATATACACACTCGTATATATATATATATATATATATATATATATATATATATATATATAGATAGATAGATAGATAGATAGATAGATACACCTAGTGAGCCAGACAAACCTACCTAGGTTTCACCTAAACGGATCGTCAGCGAAAGTTTGGCTAACGAGGCAAAGAGAAACATATATTTATAGGTGATAGCTAAAATCATACCACGTGACAAAAACAAAAAAACAACCTAAGTGGGGGGGGGGAGGTAAATATTTATTCAACAAACAAAAAAAAAATCCTCAGTGGAAAGTCAATAGCGGGAAAACGTCTAATTTAGTAGCCAAGATTTTTTATGTCTACATACATTGAGAATTTCAGTTTTAGAGTTTAATAGCTGGTTAGGTTGATCATATAAAGCTATGGCTAATTTTTCCTCAGCACATAATTTGCAAAATTTATGGCCTGCTTTATATTTTGGGCATTTTTTTAATATTTCCCATTTAAGGATGGGGTCTGAAGCCCAAAGAAAAAACCCCGATACGAGTAACGACTAACTAACAAAAGAGCTCAACACAAATAAATTCGAGTGTTTTTCGAAACGAGTCTAGTTATCTATCTATCTATCTATCTATCTATCTATCTATATATATATATATATATATATATATATATATATATATATAGTAGATATGAATATACAAATGCATATACACGCACATATATATGATATGATTTTTGGGTCAAATATAGATCAAATATATATAAACACCCATTACACACACACAATATATATATATATATATATATATATATATATATATATATATATATATATATATATATATATATATGTGTGTGTGTGTGTGTGTGTGTGTGTTTTTCGTTTTAACTGAATAACTCATAGGTTTTTTCAGTGAGAACAAGTTAAAATGTTTTGTGTCAGACCGACTGTCTTCCCAACTGAGCAATGGTGTCAAAAAAAAGATCATTCAGGTCTTCATTAATGGTACCAACATTCATGCTTTAGCTTACATCTCGATTCAACAACTATCAAAAGTGTGGTGATTACATTATAAAAAAGAGGAAAAAGTTGAGAGGAAAACTGGATCAGGAGGCGACATCATTTCAACTTAGAGCTAAAGAGATTAATTAGAAAAGATCCAACTCAATTCACAAGACGTTTTACACGTGAGAGATGAGTTTTAGCTATAAAAGTTGAAAAAGCAGTGAAAAAAGAGTTGAAAATGAAATCGTGTCTGAAAACTGTGTGGCATCTTGTTACTCCAGGACAGAAAGTTAGAAGGTTAGAGAGGGCGAAGATCATCTTGAATAAGTTGGAAAATGATCCTGGAATATTATATATATATATATATATATATATATATATATATATATATATATTTTGAACTTTATTTAAATCCTTCCTGAGGTTCCGCTCCTTAGCCAGGATTAATTAATGATGATCATGTCATTTTCGTTTCTAATCGAATTCGTCACGATTCTTCTGTTAAAATTAGCGAGTAATTATACATCTTATTGCTCAAAGTAGAGTCCAATAGTGCTATAAAAACCGCGGAGTATTCCAGTAAGATATCTTTAATCATTTCTAAGATACAACGGTTCAAAGCTTAATCTACAATCTGGACAATTTTGATGTTACATCCGGTATATATAAACCTATACGTTTTATAGTTATAAAGTTTATTTAATTATTTTGCTTACTCGTATCGTTTTTTTTTTCTTTGGACTTTGGACTTGGATGCTAGACGATTATTTTCCGCTGACGTACATGTTCTTTGTTCTTTCTTTTTTTTTTTATAGCTGTCTTTTTCCTTTGGTATTGGTTTGATTATTCGCAATTTTTTTCCGGGCGTGTATAATTTCTTATACTTATAAGATTATTACTAATATATATATATATATATATATATATATATATATATAAAGGAAGAAACAGTAAGATATATAATCCGGTGTTCTTATAGATATCTTTATTTTTGTTTTACAAAATAGTGCTGAATGTAAATTTACAGAGCATTAATATTATATATAATATATTGCATATATATATATATATATATATATATATATATATATATATATATATATATATGCACACACACACACGCACTCATGTATATATGTGTTGGGGGGTTATACAATTACTTAATGTCAGTACATATTTGCTAGTTTATTTATGTAGTTGACAGTATTGTTTTCTATCTATCTATCTATCTATCTATCTATCTATGTATGTCCATCTGTTTATTATCTATCTATCTATCTATCTATCTATCTATGTCCATCTGTTTATTATCTATCTATCTATGTACATCTGTTTATTATCTATCTATCTATCTATCTATCTATCTATCTATCTATCTATCTATCTATCTATCTATGTCCATCTATTTATTATCTATCTATCTATCTATCTATGTCCATCTGTTTATTATGTATCTATCTATGTCCATCTATCTATCTATCTATCTATGTCCATCTGTTTATCTATCTATCTATCTATCTATCTATCTATCTATCTATCTATCTATCTATCACTTTACTAAATACTTACAAACTTTTATTCTCTAACCTTCCAGTCGTATGTGTGTCCATTAACATCCACAACAATGTCAATGCCTATATGTCCGTTTCTACATCTATAAGTTTTCCCGATCTTTTTACTCTTACCTCTGCTGTACGTCATTGTCTCTTTCCCAGACCAGCCACTGTTCTTCCTGACTTCCCTTTCTCATTCTGGCAGTCATCTCCCTAAACAACCTGCGCAATTTAGGTTCGTAAATATAACACCTTTTCGGTAATTGTCCGAACGGTCGGCGTTGCTGTCCACTGCAGTTGTCCGCTTGACCAGATGATTAGTTCATTTACACCGCATGCCAAATGAAGAGCAAATCTGCCCGTCGATCGGCAAGAGGCTTGATTGGGTGCCGTGGCCGGCGAGTGTAGGTAGCGAGCCGCCAACTAATCATGCCTCAATGGATGGACACTCAACACAACATGACCAGTCGGAGCTGGTCTTGTAGTTTGGGATGAAAATAGAGTAGAAGTTCTTGTATTGTTCATAGGCTGGTTGGGACACTTGTTGTCAGTTTGAAAGTTGAGATATATTGTGAGTAGACAAAAGGTAGATAGAAAGGAAATTCGAAAAGAGAAGAAAAATGATGAGGATAATAAGAGGAGGAAGATGACGAAGGAGGCTGAAACAGATTAGGTAGGAAAAGATGAAAGAAACAGATCAAAAAGTGACAGAGAGCAGGAGATTATTAAACAGATGAGGATCTTTAGCTGATAAAGATGTAAAAGTTGAGGATAAGCAGATTAAAGATTAAGATGATGAGGTTGTGTAGATTAAAGAGAAAACGATATTATGTGAGAAGAAGATGAGGATAAATAGCTTAGAAAGGAAGATGAGGATGTGTAGATTAAAGAGGAAAAAGATGGGGAGATTAAGAAGATGTGGATATGTAGATCGAGGTAGATCTATCTATCTATCTATCTATCTATCTATGTGTATGCAAATATTTCATAGACAGTATATCTGTAAAAGGACAATATGAATAAAGACAAAAGAAAAACTCATCTTAGCCAACACGTTTCGTCCTCTAAGGGACTTTATCAAGACAAATTGAAAGATTTTATTTTGTGGCAAGTATTTTATAAATATTTATAAAATACTTGTCACAAAATGAAATCCTTATATTTGCGTTGATAATACCCTCAGAGGTCGAATCGCGTCGGCTAAGTTTATTTTTTGTCTTTATATATATATATATATATATATATATATATATATATATATATATATATATATATCAAGTATATGAATCATGTAATGTAAATTGAACTGCGCCACATACTTGATATTATAATAACTGATCCGACGCAACTTTCGGATAATAACTGTGACATTCCTCTATTTATTGAACAATTTAGTTCATGCCACATTGACTGAAAAACCTACCAGTACAAAAGAATTCTCCTATGACCATTTTAGTACAAGAACGCACAATCTTAAAATTTTAAAATTCAGCCTCAGCGTTGCGACCGCACGCTCCAAAAAAATTTCTTACAATTAACAATAACATATTTCTAAAAACATATTTCGGGTTACATCTCTTCTTTCGTTGTCCTGTTATTACCGGGATGTAAAAAACAAAAACAAATCTATTTCTATACATGATGATGTCTGTATGAACAGATGAAAGATTGTAAAAAAATAAAAAAGACCTTATGCAACTGGAATTTATAAACAGGGATCATAGTACTCATCTACAGGTTCGAGGTTAATGTAATTTGTTAAATTTGTTTGCGAAGATGTATTCTCGCCATTTATATCATTAACTTCAATATCTGCTTTTATGAATGATTCATATATATATATATATATATATATATATATATATATATATATATGAATGATGAATATATATATATATATATATATATATATATATATATATATATATATATATATATATATATATATATGCTTGCTGAGAGTGCATAATTTTCAACAAGATTTTTCGAATATTCAGGCCGGTCAGCAAAAAAACAAATATACTGTTTAATAAATTAACGGGGCATCTATCCAAATATGGGTTTCCACCAACGTAAAGTTTCAAGTGATAAAATCTGTCGCATTACTAAATAAAAAATCCATTACTTCTTTAGAAATTGCTTGTTTTACGTTCGCTTACGAAACTGAGCAGGTATGAAATTTCGGCAATCACACACACAGATATATATATATATATATATATATATATATATATATATATATATACGCACAGCCATTTAAGAATTCATAAGATGACAGTATGTAAACGTAATGGTAGCTAGCGCCACCATTTTTGACATCATGGAAATGCCCAGATTTATATCAGTTTTGCTCTGACATCAAGCAAATCTATATCTGTGAGAACTCTGGCTTGGCTGCTTATGGCAAGACGAAATTATTTATTGGATTTCGAACTGAGCATGAGAGTGGATAACAGTCGGGTGAAACATTCATAAATTGTGGGGGGCATTAGCCATCCTTCGAGTTACGGTGTTATGTGCGTTTATCTGGAATACCTGATGGAATGCATTACCACTCGTCCTGAACAGCGGAATTCTCGATAACGGGCCTCTAATGATCATGACTACAGGTGTCTGGCTAGAATTGCCCGTGATAACAGACAAGCGACACATGATGGTCCGAATTACATGAAGATTCAATGCAGGAAATACCTGTAGGTCAGTTAAGCGTTCTTTAGTTTCCATGACGACACCACGACTCTCGACACAGCGCTTCACCTGGTCTCGTTGCATCACCAATTAGACAGGCAATGTGTGGCTGGTAAATGTTCTGAAAGAGGACCGAAAGTGCGACATTGAGATCCGAAGGCGTTGTGGACGGCCAAAGATGCCTTCCAAAAGCTAAACAGAGTATTAAGAGACAGGAAAATTTCGTTGGAAAGAAAGAAAAGAGTACTGAACTGCTACGTGATATCTGTCTTCCTGTATGGCAGAAAATGCTGGCCAATCTCCTCGAAGATGAAGAAGAGACTTGAAGCAGTAGAAGAAACAAAGTTCTACAGAAGGATGCTGAGGATACCATAGACCGAACATGTGAGCAATGACAAGGTTTTACAGAGAATGGAAACAAATAGGAAACATATTTAACATCAGGAAAAGGCAGCTGGAATTTCTGGGACACGTAATGAGAAAGGAGGGCTTGGAAAATCTGATACTCACAGGACAGATAGATGGAAAGCGGAGACAGAGGAAAGCAATGTATGACATACTTAATGGGCTTTAGCAAGTGGATGGTGGAACAGGGTTTGGGAGAAATAACAAAAAGGCAAAACTTATTAAGAGCTACAACGGACAGGAAGATGTGGAGGGTCATGATCGCCTACGTACTGAAGGGACACGACAGAAGAATGTGCCGTTGGTCAGATGAGCTGTAGATGCAGTTGCTTCATATTGCTAGTAGGGCAAAGGCAATTAGTGAGAAAGCACATCCGGTTGATGAAAGCAATGTTCCGTCATTATGCAAGCTCTCTCAGTACCTTCTCACTGCCGACTGGGTAACCCCAGATAAGAGTCTCTGTTCACTCATGTACAGTATGACGCTCTATGACATAGTTCCAAGTTGCATCAAAGCCGCACACCCGGTTCAGGGTATATTTAATACGGTTGGAATTTTTTTCTGAACAAATCTCAGAATTAATGAAGGTTTTACGATGAAGTAGTGGTCAGTAAGCTAATGTTATTTGCTTACCTGTTACTTATATAAATTCGGCTCTCACCTGCTTACTAATACTTGAGGCCATGCACCTGATTTGTATATCAATGTATTGGGTCGGAACAAAACTTCATAGCTTCGTTTGAAAATGTGATGACTTATAGTGATTTTCCATGGCCGAAAGTATGGGGCACCCAGTGAGGATCGAACTCACTACTCAGTCGTAAATGATTTAGCGAGACAAGTTTGTTAACCATTACTCCATACCGAGGTGCTCTTATAGTGATTTTCCAAGTCGAAAGTATGAGGCACCCAGTGAGGATCGAACTCACTATTCAGTCGTAACTGTTTAAGCGAGACAAGCTTGTTAACCATTACACCACGCCGAGGTGACCTAAAATGATTTTCTAATCGTAGATTAGATGTGGCACAAGGCCGAAAGTATGGAGCACCTAGTGAGCATAGAACTCACTATTCAGTCGTAACTGTTTTAGCGAGACAAGCTTGTTAACCATTACACCACGTCGAGGTGCCCTAAAATGATTTTCTAAGCGTAGCTTAGATGTGGCACAAGGTCGAAATTATGGGGCACCCTGTGAGGATCAAACTCACTATTCAGTCGTAATTGTTTTTGAGCGAGACAAGCTTGCTACCTATTACACCACGCCCAGGTGGCCACGTGATGACTTATATTTAGGAAACAAATACATACTTTGAAAGCGGACATTCAAATATGCCTTGCTGTATGACTCGTGTGTATGTCGTGTGAAAATTAAATGTTGTGGGGAATTTGACCCCTCAGGCAGGAGAAATGCAATGTACTTACCTGGGTTGTTGTTCTTTACTAAATAAAAGTGGTTACGTTTTTTATTAACTTTTTATAATTACAGGAGTATTTCTTTTTACATACCATGTCCTTTCAATACGTACGCAATCATGGCTCTCCACCTCCCTCTCTCCCTTGCAGCTCTCAGCAAGCTCCTTCCCTCTGTTTCCACCACCCAGACCACGTTCTGTCATCCCCTTGCCCAAGTCCGCCAGGTATGTCACTCGATGCTTTCTCTTGTCTCTCTTTCCCTCTATTCAACCCGTGAGTTTCAGATTCTCCAGGCACTCCTTCCTCATTATGTGTCCCAGAAACTTCAGCTGCCTCTTTCTGGTGTTAAGTATAAGCCTTCTCCTTGTTTGTAACTTCTCTAAGATCTCATCGTTGCTCACACGCTCTGTTTATGATATCCTCAGCATCCTTCTGTAGAACCACATCTCTTTCGTCTTGAGTGTCTTCTTCATCTTTGAGGAAATCGTCCAACATTCGCTGTCGTAAAGAAAGTAATTATAAGGGAGGTTTTTTTTTTCCTTTTTTTTTTTCTTATAATTTAATTAATGCAAGTTATTAGACGGTCGCATTCCGTGGCTAAAAGGAATCTTATTTGGCAACTTAAGGTAAGTGCTTTTACTTCTTTACCTCGGCCTGGACCGTCCTTAGATTTTTGTGGGTGGACATTTTCTCGACAACGTTTGTACTTTAAAAGTGAAAATGAAGGAAAATGAGATACATTTTCGTCATTTGATGCTATTCCTCCCAGAAAAGAAAGAAACAAATTTTTTTTTTATACAATCAGGAAAGACGATATGTGCCGTTTATTGAGATGGTGTCATAGCGTATAGAGTATTGATCGTAAGTGGTTTACTTGGTTTCAAAGAGGAAAATTTGATCCAAAAGGCCGAGAAAAATTCCGATTGGACAGCAATCGTTGATGATGGCTAAATCGAAACGCTGATTAAATCAACACCGGGCATACGACACGGGATATCGCGGAGATACTTCACATATCTAATATAAGCATAGAAACGTCTTTCAAAACACTTGGATACGTAAATATCTGCGATGTGTGCGTGCCTACGATTTAACGGAAACAATGACTGCATTTCTCTACTTGCAATTCCTGATTTATACTATTGTTCGTACTGTTGTCCTCGTCTTTATTGCCATATTCACAACGTTTCGGCCGTTGTACACTCGGGCCTTCTTCAGGATATGTTTATATTTCTGACACGAGGTATTGTAACTATTTGCTCTATTTACATTGTTCGGGCTGTTGTCCTCGTCTTTATTGTCATATTCACGATGTTTCGGCCGTAGTTCGCTCCGGCCTTCTTCAGGTAATATTTCTTGGAATTTCGAAACGAACCCTTTTTTTAGTCCACTGGGGTAGATTGTTCTAATTCCCTGTATCTTTTTTTGAATATCTTCAGTTAATTTCCCTTGATAACTCAACTCTCAAAGTTTTTGTTCCCTCTGCTGTGGCTAGGTATTGAACTCACAACTCTTTGGATTCAGTCACTTTTGGATCAATCAACCAACGTTTTTATCCACAGGGCTATGTGATCCAAAAAGTGACTTGACCCAAAGAGTTGTGACTTCAATACCTAGTCACAGGAGAGGGGGACAAAAAAAGTAATGGCGCATGGAATCAGAACAATCTACCCCTGTGGTGTAAATAAAAGTTTCGATTTGAAATTCCAAGAAAAATCACCTGAAGAAGGCAGTCCGAATAATGTAAACAGTGTAAATAGTTACAAATCCCTCATCTCAACATTATAGATAGTTCCAATGCTTTGTTCAAATGAAAAGCGTTCCATTTTTTTAAAGAGCAACCTCAGGCGATGAAAAATGGAATGTTTACAACAATGTGGAGCGGAAAAAGGTCCCGGGGAAAACGAAATGAGCCACCGTCCACCACTCTAAAAGCTGAAGAAAATGATGTTTTGTATCTAGTGGAATTGGAAGAACATTTTGCATTACGAGATTTTTCCGTCAATTGCACTTTGAATTCTGTGCTCAGTTGGACCGATTAGAGTCAGAAATTCACGAAAAGCACCCGTCATTGTTTAATCGGAAGGGTGTAGTTTTTTTAATCAAGACTACTCCAAGACTACCAGTATCAGAAATTGGTACGGCTTGGCTGGGATGTCCTACAACACACAATTTCTACCTGATTTTGTACCTACGGATTACCACTTTTTTACGGCTTATCAACCCTTCGGAGGTTATTTAAAGCCAGAAAATATTGTTTAGATTCTAAGATATTTTTTTTTGAGATAATAATAGTTTTAGCGATACAAGTTTTACTAACTTGCTTAATTCTGATGAGCGGACGAAAACCGGTGTTTCCACGTAATATATCTATCAGCCTCTTTTAATAGGAAGATCGTCAATTCTTTGAAAACCAGTCAGCAAACAAATTCTGTTCACTTTGTCGTACCAGAAAGTATTTTTCTCGTTAGAGTCATCTTCAGTCAGTCAGTTATGTGCCATGCGTGATACACACTTAGGCGATCGTCTATCTTTCGATGCATGACTGACGAGGCAGATTTGTTTCCCGCAGTTGGTTTGCCATTTCTTTTTACGGTAGACAAGTTGCCATCCAAGGTTATAGAACCCGGTCTGTCCTGTTATTTGCCCATAGCTGGGATTCGGGAGAGAAGAAGAAATTTTCATTTTTTGTTTGGAAGTAAAGTCTGATGATCCGCAGTCCTTTTAAAAGGGCTGTGGTGAAATAATTTATTACATGAAACCTTAAAGTGGTCTGTTTTTTATTTTATATATATATATATATATATATATATAGATAGATAGATAGATAGATAGATAGATTTGAACCACTTTTCAATTACTCATATTTTTTAGTACAATCAAACTTATATTAGAAAATTTACAATTTTGGATGTTTTTTTTTATTTTCGTAATTTTTTTTTTATTTTTATTAAATTACTGACTTGGTAATATTCTGTTTGCACTAGAACAAAATCTACAAACTCTAACAGTATATGTTTCACTGTAAATTTTAATTATTGCTGATAATAATTTTTCCTTTTAAAATTATTGCTGGTAATTTTTTATTACAAAGTATTTCTGGTATTAAAACATATTTTTACATGTGGGCCTGGGAACGCCAGCAATTAAGAGGTGGTTCTACGCTCCTCAAAACCTCGTGATCAGGGGCCTTGCTGTTGGATGTATCGTCTTACCCAGGACTCGGATGTAGTTTATCGTCATACCCAGGACCGGGAGTTGTACGTGTGAAAGCAGTAAATACCCATGAATAAATGTGTGTACACACATTTGCATTTTGTTCGACAACTGTCTGTATTTTCTCGTATGTATGCAATTCTATTTACGCGTTGTTGGCTTCATTTATGAAGACATCAACGGCCATGTGATTGTAACCAACCTATTATATACATATATCTATATAGACGCATATTTTTATGCCCAGAAATACTTGTATATATTCGCTAACACTTAGTCATATCTAAACTTACACCAACTCAAACACGCACATGTGCATATAACGGGAGAGTGTATGTATTTTTTTTTGTTGTTTATTTTATCAGTAAGAAGTAATATTGCGCATGCGTGCGCCTTTCTCAACTCCATCCTTTCCAATTGATTTCCCCGCCTCTTCATCTTTCGTTCTCGGCAACACAGTTGGTGTGAATTTCAATCATTTCTCCATTTCATATTTATGAGCAGAACAAACCAGTCAATAATATCACTATTGGGCCGACATACAGTTCTGACCGGAAGTTTATTTAGAATCTAACTTCCGCCATCTTCAAAGTTGGTACGTTTTTAAGTTTTCTTTCTTCTCAGATAACGAATGAGCTCCTAAGAAAAGTTAATTCATCAGCCACAAGCAGACATGTTCAAAACTCCGAAAGATTTCAGTTTTATATTTTACAAGCATCACTAGTACGATAAGTATTGTTCTCCTTTCACAGTTCTGGCCTTAATCCGAGCATTTGCTGAAATGCTACCTTTTGCGAAAAAAATGGCGCGGTTCTATATACTGAAAATTTTTTTTATTTACTTTATGATGTTCTAAGCTTCTTTCTTTTTTCTTTTCTTTTTTTTTTTTTGCTTATTGTTATTGAGTTTTATATCATTCACTTTCCAACATTTGTAACATAGCTTCCTTATGTTTTTCTATAAATAAATACATTTGGGACAATTGTTTTCCTCTTTGATACTTCATACATGATTGGCAGTTAGGTCTCATCATTTTACTGCTGAAATTGCCAGATATAACCATAAGCTGTAATCGTCTAATTTCTTCTTTGGCACAAACTCTCTAAAGGCTGCTTGCTTTCCTGGAAACTACGATATACAACAATTTAAACGCAACGTCAATCATCACCCACTGTCTCTTTACGTACGATCACCGAAGTTAAGCAAAATCGAGCCAGGCCAGTACCGAGATGGGTGACCACTTACGAATACCAGGTGCTGTAAGTTTATTTAAGAATGTGCGGGTGGTGTAATTGATAACGGCTCAAAATTGGAAATCGGAGACCCGAGTTCCAATTCTAGTTGGGTTTGTTATATTCACTGATGCGCAAATGCCCTTGGCAAAGTTATGAATCCAGCTCTTATCCTCCCCTTATGGGTTAATTAATAAGACATGTATCTCTAAATCATTATTATTCTAAAAAAATCTTACAATCTAAAAATATCTTCTGGCTTTAAATAACCTACACAGGGTTCATAAACCGTAAAAAATCGAAACAGTCAATCAAATACTGATTATTTATACAGGCATGTCTTTTAGATTTATTTACATTGTCTGGAATATAAGTGTATAGAAACTATCCTGGCCATAAAGTGAGAGGCTAGTTTGTATATTGATTTTAAGATAGAATTGATCCCCCACTCTATATCTGCTTTACAATTCCTTGTTTATCAAATTCTGATCCGGTATAAATTAACCTCTTCTCTTCTTCTTAGTAAGAGTTGTATCACCAAACCATTATTATCTCTCCCCACCCCAAATATCAATATTTTCTGGCTTTAAATAACCTACAAAGGGTTGATAAGCCGTAGAAAACAGATTGATCAATCAATGAAATACAGATTAGCTAAAAAGGCATGGCTTTTAGATTTAGTTACATTCTCTGGAATATAAATATATAAAAACTTTCATGGCCATAAAGTGAGGGATCAGTTTATATATTGATTTTAATATAGAATAGATCCCCCACTTTATATCCATAATTTATGCAAATTCTTATTAGATATTAATCCACCTTTTCTCCCCTCAGCTATGGGTTAATTAGTAAAACTTGTATCACTAAACCATTATTATCTAAAAAAAAAAAAATGTCTCTTGATCTTTTTTCATGTCCTCTCTCCTGAATAATAATTTCTCAATTTCTTCTACTCTCAGTAACGCCTTGTGCCTTAGGGGCTATATTGCCTTGCTTACTTGAAATGATGAAAAAAACAAAAAAACAGCAAGAGAAATATCAGAATTTCTAATTTTGATTGAATTGTCTCCAAGTAATATGTTTAATATGTCTCTTCAATTAAATGAAATGGA